TAGTGTATAGAAATGCAAGGGATTTCTCTGTGTAAATTTTACTAATCCACTTTCTGAATTCTAGGTATTGAATATAAATTGAGTCATATAACATGTTTCCTTTTGTGACTCGCTTATTTCACTTAGCGTGTTTTCAAGGTTCCATGTTCCAGGATCCATGTTGTAACGTGTATCTCTGCTTCATTTTTTTTCAAGACTGAGTGTTATTATACCTTATGGATATACCAGTGTTTTTATCCATCCAGTACTTGATGGATATTTGGATTGTTTCCACTCTGGCTATTACAAATAATATTGGCATGAACACTTGTTATGTAGGTTTTGTGTGGACATAGATTTTCATTTCTCTTGAATATATATATATACCTGGGAGTGGAATGGCTGGTTTGTATGGTAATTCTATGTTTAACCATTTAAGAAATTGCCAGACTTTTTTTCTGAAGTGATTTTACCATTTTAATTTTGCCATCAGTGTGTCTGAAGGTTCATATGTCTCCATATCTTCACCAACACTTGTTATTTGTCTTTTTCTTTATAGCCATACTATGATGCCGTACTGTGAAGCAGTGTGTTGTTATGTTTTGATTGGCATTTCCCTAATCATTAGTGATGTCAAGCATCTTTTCTGCATGTTTATTGACCAATTACATATATTTGTGGAGAATTATTTATTCTTATTCTGTGCTCATTTTTTAATTGGTTTATCTTTTTAGTATTGAGTTGTAAGGGTTATTTATATATTCTAGATAGAAATCTCATGGGTTGCAAATGTTTTTTCCCATTCTGTGGGTTTTCTTTTCACTTTCTTAATGCATCCAGTGAGGTACAGAACATGTAAAATTTTGATTAGTCCAGTTTAAATATATTCTTTATTTTACTTGTGCTTTTTGTGTCATATTTAGAAAGGTTTTTCTTCTGTAGTGTATGTGTTCTTGAACTTCTTATAAGTGGAATCAAGTAGTATGTGTTCTTTTGCATCAGGGTTCTTTCACCTGGTGGGTTCCATACTGTTCATGGGGTTGCACAGAGTTGGGAAGGACTGAGCAAATAACACTGTACTTCACTTCTTTCACCTAATGTTTATAAGATTAATGTTATGTATCAGCAGCAGTTTGTATCTGAGTGATGTTGCAGTGAATGAATGTATCACAATTTGATCATTTATTTTTCTGGATATAGGGGTTGTTTCTGGACTTTGCCTATTATGAATAAAGCTTTTCTGAACTTTAAATTGTAAGTCTTTTTGTGGACATAGGTTTTCATTTTTCTTGCTGTCATATAAAAATGTATTTAACTTTATAAAGAATTGCCAAATAGTCTTCATAGTGGTTGAAGTCTTACATACTACTGACATGGATATGTTAAAGTCACAATTGGTCTCATCTTTGGCAGCACTTAGTATGGCCAGTCTTTAAAATTGTAGCCATGCTGATTGTGTACATAGTGTGGTTTTAACTTGGGTTTCTTTGGTGATTAAGGATGTTGAATGTTTTTCAGTTGCTTGTTAGCCACTTGACTGTTTTGTTTTGGAAGGTGGCAGTTTAAATCTCTTACTCATTTTTAAAAATGTGTTGTTTGCCTTCTTAATTATCAGTTGTAAGTGTTCTTCATGTATTCTGAATACCAGTCTTTTGTCAGATGCATGTGTTGAAGATTTCTTTTTTCTTAGTTTGTGGCTTACATTTTCATTTTCTTAAAAGTAGAGCTTTTAAAATTTGAAATGCAATTTAGTATTTTTTAATCAATTTTTTTCTTTTATGGTTAATGTTTGTGTCCCATTAACAAATTTTGTCTATTCCAAGGTTGTGAAGACTTTTTCCTGTTTTCTTCAAGGTGTTTTATAGTTTTAGTTTTTATATTCAAGTCTATTGTCCACTTTGAGTCTTTTTTTTTTTTTGTATTATGTGAATTAAGGCAGGGACAATATCTTTAAATAATGTAAAGTCTGTACTTGGAATATTTCATTTGTAATGTTTTTCAAAGTTTTGTATATTTGTATTACTTATTGCATTGTCCTCTGAAGATGAACTGCTTAACTCTTCTCTCTAATCCACCCATGAATTCATTTGGTTTTCCTGGTTATACTAAAAGTTGTAATTGTGGAGATATCTGAGACCTTTCTGACTGTTAAAAAACAAACAAAAACCCTTTCTTTTTAGGTACTTTTTCATCTATGCTTTCATTATATCTCAGATTTCTGTTTAGCTTGGGAAACACCAGTATTTTCTTTTTAACTGCATGTCTTTATTAATGGTAGTGGTGCAGTTTAATTATTTGGCATATAGTGAAGTCGCTCAGTTGCTTCCGACTCTTTGCGACTCCATGGACTGTAGCCCACCAGGCTTCTCCATCCATGGAATTATCTAGGCAAGAGTACTGGAGCGGGTTGCCATTTCCTTCTCCAGGGGATCTTCCTGACCCAGGGATCAAACCTGGGTCTCTGCATTGCAGGCAGACGCTTTACCGTCTGAGCCACCAGGGAATCCCAAAAAAGTGAAAGTCGCTCGGTCATGTCTGACTCTTTGTGACCCCATGGACTATACAGTCCATGGAATACTCCAGGCCAGAATACTGGAGTGGGTAGCCTTTCCCTTCTCCAGAGGATCTTCCCAATCCAGGGATTGAACCCACATCTCCTGCATTGCAGGAGGATTCTTTACCAGGTGAGCCACAAGGGAAGTTAGCAAGCATTCAGTGAATAATTAAGTGAAGTGAACTTAGAGTCAGGTTATTTCTGTAAAGTTTGTTGCTGTATTCCATTTATAAATCTTGAGGTTTAGAATCATACATAGAATTACTTGTATACATACACTTATTTTTTCATAAGTTTTATTGTGGACTTGTTAAAATATCTATGGAAAAAACAGTATTTAAAGCAAAACATTATCATTAATTAGTTTTTTTCTGATGAAGACTATTTATAGCAAATAATTGACCCTGAATTTAGCTGTTTTGTAAATTTTTCTATTTCTAGCAATATTTGGGACATCTTATTTCATTTACTGTTGCCATGAAAAAAATGTATTAAATTATGCCATGAATAAGGAAAGTTTTTTCGTTTATATTATTGTTATTGAGTTTGATCATCTCGTACCTGAAGTTTTTTTTTATTATGGGGATTTGAATTTTATTTCAGTTCTCTCAGTTTTCAGTGTATTTTGTTTTGAGCTAAATACAAAGACAATATAAAGGGATATAAAGATGAGTAAGATATAAATGTGGCTTGCAAAGGATTTTTTATAATCTGCTAAATATAATTTGACTCATGTTTATTAGTTTTTATACATCCTAAATTAATATTGGGAGCATTTTTTTGTCTAAGCAGATGATTTTCTGAAGGAGTTACTGGAAGTAAATAGTATCCATGTTAAATAGATGTTTTAGGACCCTTATTTGCATGGTATGTAATTTACATCTTAATAATGATAGAGCCACATTTTCCAGCCTTTTTTTTTTTTTTTTGATAGTCTGTGTACATGTGAAAGAAGTAATGGATTTGATGTTGTATTGAGTTATGGAATTGATCTCTGAAATTATCTTAACCTGTCTTTCTACAGATAAGGCAGAGGCCTTAAACAGGGTCTTAACAGTGAAGAGGTCTCAATTTTAAAGTGCTAGTCCAGTGATAAATGACAACTGTTAGCTGGCCTGAGTTTCTGGGAGATAGTAAGGTTTATGGAGAGTTAGTGGATTAAGGTCCTTTCTCATTTAAAGGGAGAAGCTTCTACCCTGCTATACCCTGTTATTTCTGGAATATAGGCTAGTTTTGCCCTTTTTGTTTTTTAAGAGATCCAGAATTGTAAATACAAATGTATGTTGGAAAAGGAAATGACAACCCACTCTGATATTTTTGCCTGGAAAATCCCATGCCTAGAGAAGCCTGGTGAGCTGCAGTCCATCAGGTTGCAAAGAGTTGGACATGACTGAGCAACTAACACACACAGACACACGTATGTGTATATAAACAAATGAAATCTTTTAATTTTAGTTTTAGTAATTGTTCATTTTTTTTACACAAACATTGCATGAGCTAGGCAAAACACTCTTTGTTTGCAGATCAGTTATGCCTGGGTGAAGCAAAATTGAAAGAGACAAAAAGATTTGATTAATTTATGTGTCTGCCTTTTTTAGTCCTAGACACATTTTAAACATGTTAGGATTAGTTCTTCCATAAAATTAGTTAATACCTCTTCCAAGTACAGTTTCTTTTTCCTTGAAACCTTCCCAATGAATTTCTCCCCAGAAGATTTCTTCTACTTTGAGTTTTTAGTGGAGATAAAGAGAAACTATGATGGGACTAATAGCACTAAAATATTTAACATAATTTACTTTATCATATTTTAAAATTGCTATTCTTAGTAGAAAAAAATACAGCAATTAATTTTGTAGATGCCAACCAAATATTTTAAAAATTATGTATATTTTAAAACTATGGCTAAATTGCTGTAGTGAAGCCCTTAAGTATCATCTATCATGTTGTTGCAGGAAGGGGGACCCCTTCCAGGGCTTGAGAGTGGGCTCTTGTCTAACACTCGGAAATGGATTGTCCAAGGAGGTACATACGCTGACAAAGCAAGATATTTTATTGGGAATGGGCACCTGGGCAGAGAATAGGAGGGTAAGGGAACCCAGGAGGACTTCTCTGCTATGTGGCTTGCTGTCAGGTTTTGCGTTGATGAGATTAGTTTCTGGCCAATCATTCTCAAAATGGAGTCCTTCCTGGTGGCACACCCATTGCTCAGGCAAGATAGATGTCAGCGAGAAGGATCCTGGGAGGTGGTAGGACAGGTGGTGTCTCCTTTTGGCCTTTCCTGAGCTCTTCCATTTGGTGGTGGCTTAATAGTTCCACGTTCCTTACTGAGACCTCCTGTGGTAAAATACTCATGCAAATGGTTATTATAGTGCCTGGGCTGGGTGGGTGGTTTTAGTCAGTGTGTTTCCTCTAATATTGTCATCTAGTGTCACTGTGAGATCTTGAACAATTTTTAATTATATTTTAGATTGTTAGAGACAGATAGTAAGTCTTTAAGATCTGTAAATGGATCAAGAAGGAACAGTGGCTCCTCCCTGGTATCAAGTTCATCAGCCTCTAGCAACCTCAGTCACCTTGAAGAAGACTCTTGGATTCTTTGGGGAAGAATTGTTAATGAATGGGAAGATGTGCGCAAAAAGAAGGAGAAACAAGTTAAGGTATTCATATTCTTTGCTGAAGTTTTCCTCTTATCCCGTCAGGCAGAGATTGATAGAGGATTAAAAAAAAAATTTGGATTCTAGTACTTCCCAGGTGCTATGCTGAAGAGGTCTACTTTATATGTTTTCTTCAATTGTGCCAATAGAAGTTTTGATTTGCAGCTATCAGCTATTATTAAAGTCTCCTAACTGTAGAAATATAGATTCAGAAACGAAGTGGTGACATCCAAAATCCTTCAGTTATCATTATTTTATTTTATTTTTTTTAAAGCATAAAGCAGCCCTTTGAAAGATCATGGTTACCATGCTATCTGTCATTCACAGCTCTGCAGGTTATCAGTTCCTTAATACATTGAGAGGCTATACTCTGAGTGAAATGACAGGAATTTATCCACAGCATTGTTGTTCCTCTGATCAGAGCACAATACATCAGTATCTTAGCCAAATCTTAGCTTTGGTTAAAAAGTTCCCTAGTCTTATTATAAAAGTAGCTTTGTGAATTAAAATTTGAGAAAGTTTAAAAAAAAAATTTTTTTTTTTTAAGTCATCCACTCTACTCCAATCCCTGTGGCTTTCAAGGTAGGAAGCCTAAATAAGTCATTTAAACATTTTTATTTTTATTTTTTAGGAACTTGTTCGTAAAGGGATACCCCATCATTTTAGAGCGATAGTTTGGCAACTTTTGTGCAGTGCACAAAGTATGCCAATTAAGGATCAGTATTCAGAACTCCTGAAAATGACCTCACCTTGTGAAAAATTGATCCGAAGGGACATTGCTAGAACTTATCCTGAACACAATTTTTTTAAGGAAAAAGATAGCCTTGGACAGGAAGTTTTGTTTAATGTAATGAAGGTAAGTTCTATTTATTCATTTTTTGGGGGGAAGGAGCTGAAATAAATTCTTATGTTGAAATTAAACATTTCTCATAATGAAGTACAAACTCATCCTAGTAATCAGTTGCTTCGGCGATCAATTTGATTTTAGCATAATCTTGACTTTAATTCTGATGTTTAGGTTGCTGTCTGATTTGCAGAACTCTTGGAAAATTCCTTACATTGCTTGATATTAGTTGAAGTCAAATAACCCATAAATGACTATACATACCATAGAGAGGGACTTCCCTCGTAGCTCATTCGGTAAAGAATCTGCCTGCAATGCAGGAGACCTGGGTTTGATTCTTGGGTCAGGAAGATCCCCTGGAGAAGGAAATGGCAATCCACTCCAGTATGCTTGCCTGGCAAATCCCATGGACAGAGGAGCCTGGTGGGCTACAGTCCACGAGGTCGCAAGAGTCGGACACGACTTAGTGACTAAACCACCACCACCACCACCACCATAGAGAAGACCCTTCATGAAAATGAGTAATTCACCTTCTATGAGTTTCACAGTCTGGGAGCAAATTTTCTGTTTGCCATGGCCGGCATCGCTAAGAGCCCCTCACCCTTGAAGGTGTGTGGCATTGTAATTTTTTCTTAAATACTGTCTTTTCCCTTTGCATAATTCCTTTCCCTTTTAGCCACCCCTTTGAAATTATGATTTCTTGTTAAACCATATCAATTTTGTTAATGCTTTACCATCGTCCTACTCAAATTTTACTCTATCAGCTACATATTTTTAATGATTTTTAAGCTTTGTCACTTCCCTGAGTACAAATTCCTTTATTTTCTTGTCCTTAACAACTGACAGTTCCTAATTCGTAAATCATCAAAAGAAAATTTTATGTAGTAAATCATATAGGGTAGGATCGCATCTACAGCAAAGCAAACAAGAGCTTCTCTAGAAAATAAATGGTCTTTAACCCACCTTCTCACTATTTTTAGGCTTTTAGAGAAGGAAGGTATGCTGTATCATGATAAAGTATTTTGAACAACATTTTTTACTTTTTAGGCGTATTCTTTAGTGGATCGTGAGGTTGGTTACTGTCAAGGAAGTGCTTTTATAGTTGGATTGCTGCTTATGCAGGTAAGTTATATAAGTATTAAAGTTGGAGAATTTAAAAATCATCCTTGTTTTTAGTAAGTGGATATTGGGTATTTTTCTCCTAAGCATAATCTAAATAAGAATATTTAGTTTGCACTTTAAAATATTAAACATGTTGAAAATAACACATAGTAAATATCCTGCCACTAAGCCAAATTTTGTCTTATCTACATTTGGACCATAATTTTCTACTAAATCCTGTATCTACTTTTAAATCTGTATTTAAATGTCTGTATTTAATGAGGAATAATCTTTTCCCAGCTAAGGAGGACTGATTAAAGTGTTGGTATAGAAATCTTACTTTATGGGACTTCTCTGGTGGGTTTGATCCCTGATTGAACTAAGATCCCCCATATTGTGTGGCAAGGCTACATGCACACACATATCATAGTTATGATATACAATGTCTTTGGAAGTTTATACAGTACTTTTATTTGTCACAGAACTGAGGGCTTGTTGCACCTCTCTTATAGGCTCAAAAATAGAGGTACTCAGTCACTTCTACTGCCTTAGGGATAAACATGTTTCCATTGGCAGTGGCTTATATTGGGTGGGGTGTTTTTGGAAGTCAAGGACAGGACAGTAAGTCATAGCTTTGACAGGAAATAGCATATGGTGTTATCTGTTTAGCCTTATTGAAAATTTTTTTTTTAAAGTCGATCTTACTTTTTTATTAAGTCTCAGACTGAAATATAACTTGAAAAGACACCTTGGAGATAACTTTTGAGTCATATAGGCTTGTTTTTGCAACTCAGTTCTACACTGAGTTCTGTAATCTTGGGCCAGATTATTTTAACATCCTTTTCTCAGCCTTAATTAGGTACTGCTTCTACTTCTAGATTCACTATGAGGGTTATATAAGATACTGTATGTAATAGTCTAGCATAGTGTTTGACACATGGTAGACATGCAATAAAAGTTCAGTGACTTGCCCAAGATCACATATCTTGGTAGCTAAGAGCAGTGTAGGAATCAGAAACTGTGTTTCTCCACTGTTACTGTTGTTCAGTTGCTCAGTAGTGTCGAACTCTTTGTGACTACATGGTCTGCGGCATGCCAGGCTTCCCTGTCCTTCACCAACTTCTGGAGCTTACTCAAACTCATGTCCATTGAGTTGGTGATGCCATCCAACCATCTCATCCTCTGTTGTCCCCTTCTTCTCCTGCCCTCAATCTTTCCCAGCATCAGGGTCTTTTCAAATGAGTCAGCTCTTTGCTACTTTGCCTCCCACATATTAGCTTAGAAATAGAACTCAGAGTCTGATAAAATTTTTTTGCAAGTTAGCTTATTTACTGCATGGTGTTAAAATAGTTAAGAGTACTGGTATATGTTGTGTACATCTTAGTACTGCTTTAAAATTGGGTAGATAGTGTCCCCACTAGACCTTTGCAAAAGACATGATTCTTATTAACTCAGTGTCATAGAGAAAATGTGTATCAGAGAGAAGGGGCAGTTAGTGGAAATGAGGCATTGAGGTCCAAGGAGGGACCTGTGCATCTCTGCCCCTGGCTTCTTCCAGTGCTGAGGGAGAGAAAACACCCTCCTCAGGAGACAGCCAGATTTTGGTTTTGAAGTATCCTTAGGGGGGATTTAGGTTTCACTTAGAGAAAGACAGTGAAAGAACATTTGGTGAAGAGATTGAGGGTATAGATAGGATATTTTATTGATGGCAGGTTATTAGTTCCAGAAAGTGCTGCATAAAGGGTTTAGGGCATATTAGAAATGGGGTAGATTATGGGAGCACTGGAACCACATGGGATGAGTGTTCTAGGATATTGGGTTTCTTGTAGTGACTGACATAAAAATCAGTGGGGCTATCAAGCTTGATAGGATTAATGAAGATATGTGTTCGGAGGAAGAAAGAAAATGAGTTTTGCCAGGAATAGTGCTTGGCTCCTGTTCACGGCTGTGTTGAGTCCAGGGAAAATGTATTGTTAATAAATGTAGTCTTCAGTAAGAAAAGTGCCTAGGGACATTTTGAGGTTTCCTCTTTTGAAACACACTGGTATAATGTGAGTGAATGAACATTAGAACATTTTATCTTAATACACAAGGAATTCCCTGGCAGTCCAGTGGTTAGGACTGTATGCTTCATTACAGGGGCATGGGTTCCACCCCTGTTTGGAGAACTCAGATCTCTGCATGACAAAAAAAAAAAGACCACACAGTTATTTGTATGTTATGTGTCTAAATTTAATATCTGTGTAACTCTATGGAGCTTTTTTTTTTTTTCCTACGGAGCTTTTATATTCAGTATCTTAGTTGATATAATTATCTAGTGAGTTACACACAAAATGTGAAATTGAAACCTTTAAAACCCTAATTACAGATTTTTTTTGGAAAACTTATTTTACTAGTTCTTTTAACACTTAAACACTATTTTTCTGCTTGGAACCCTTGAAAAACCTCCCATCTCACTTAAGATAAAAGTTCAGGTCATTACAGTGGCTTCTAAAATCTTATGATTTGTTTTGTTGTATTTCTCCTCCATAACCATAACTTCATTTGTAGCATCACTCCTAATTTAGTAGTCCCCTGTTTATTGTTCCTTGAGCATACCACTCATGATTCCATTTCAAGACATTTGTATTATTCTCTCAGCACTGTACTTCCCTCAGTTGTTCCCTTACTTTCAGTATTCTGCTCAAATGTTACCTTATCAAGAGACTCTCTCTGACCTACCTATAAATAAATAGAATGTATCTCCCTAGGATTCCCTGTTGCTTTACTTTGTCTCATTTCCATAGCACTTTGCACCATCTGACATATATTAATTGATTTATTCCATATATTGCCTGAAGAATCCCATAGACAGAGGAGCCTGTCAGGCTACAGGAGGGGTCACAAGAGTAGGGCACAATTTAGGGATTAACCACCATGTATTGTCTTTTCTCCCCCTACTGGAAGGTTCAAACTCCCTGAAAGTAGAGAATGTTTATTTTGTTCACTGGTATATGAGAGAGAGAGAGAAGTATCTGGCTTTAAATGAATATTCATAGATTGAATTAATGAGTTAGGCAAGTGAGGCAGCTGGTCTCAGTTGTATGATTCACCTAATTTCTCCTTGATTGTGATAGAATGGGAAATTAGAATCGTCTGGTTCCTAGTCCATTGCTCTTAATATTACATCGCTTGGCACTCAAAACACTGGTTATAGTTGGATGAGTACTTAGTTTAAATGTATTTAACTTATTTGTTTATCACAGAACATTAATAGATATTGCTTTTTTTTCTCCTAATGCAGATGCCAGAAGAAGAAGCTTTCTGTGTATTTGTTAAATTAATGCAAGATTATAGACTTCGTGAACTTTTTAAACCAAGTATGGCAGAATTAGGCCTTTGTATGTACCAGTTTGAATGCATGATACAGGTAAAAGTGTGGCGTTAACCAAAAACATACTGCCTTTATATTTTTTGTCATCTTGGTTTGAGTGACAACTATGCAAATTTAATGTTAAAAGCATTAAAGCAACTGAAAAAAAAATCATTGTTTTGATTACATGATTATTTGTTGGTCTGTTAACCCACGATTTAGACTTTACTTCCCAGTTAGGTGCTGGCCCAGGTAGATCAGTCTGGAACTTTACTACAATTTTTATGTTCAAATCTTAAACATTTGTGCCAAATATATCATAACCTAGGTTCATGAGTTTCTTTATTATGCCGTATTGATCACATTTTTTTATGTAGATTATGCTCTCCTACAGAAGCCCATGACATTTGGATGCTGATATCAATTCATTTCCTTTGAGATGGTCTCTCATCTCTTTCAATCCTCTCCCCTGCCTTTCCCGTCTTTCATCTCGCTTTTTCTACTAGCCTGTAATCTTAAAAAAATTAGTTTCTATCCTTTTATATTGTTAATTTAAAATTCATAGTCTTATTGACTGTGTGAGGGTGAAGAGAAGAGAAAGAGAGGAATCAAAACCAAGTAAAAAATACCTTTAAATCTTTGTATTTGTATAAGTAGATTTGCTATTTTTCCCTGTGATGTAATGGTATAAATATTCTTCATTTACTTAAATTTCAATTATGTAAGCAAAATTTAAGAATATTGGTTAACGACTCAGCTGGCCTAAGAGCCATTTTCCTGAGAAAAGTCTCCATTTCCCTGGCATCTTTACCCACAGAAATTTTTAAATCCTCTACCTTTTCTATGTGTGATGAGAAGAAAGGGATATGCCAAATGTTTTTGCATTTTAAAGAGAAAGACAAAGTAGGTCTTGATGATTCTTCTTTGTCTTAAATAGTAAGCTTATTTTTAATCAACCTTAAACTCCTTTGGTTTATTTTCAGTTAATGTGTCATTTATGTTTTGAATTACGAGAGTTGCTGAAGTATCTGTATTTCAGGTGAGAAGGGAGCTTAGGATAGGCAATCAGGGGTATATAGCACCTGAAAGTATTTCAACATAACATCTTTCCTTAAAAAAATTTTTTTTGAAATATTATAGTCTATAGAAAAGTAAAGAAAATTATAAAAATTTTACTAATTTATTGTAATTTTTCTTATTAAGAAATCATTAGAAAGTTCCAACTCTACATCCTTTTCCCCTTCTTCCTTTTCCAAATATTAACCACTATCTAGAGTGTCCATTTCTGCCTCTTATTTCTTCCATATGATTCCAGAATTTTTATGTTTATGTTTGGTAAAGGCTAATTTAGTATGTGTACAATGGTTTGGCTTAAAATACTGAGTTTTACAATGTTTTAGATAATTAATTCCTTTCTTCTATTTAGGAGCACCTTCCAGAGCTCTTTGTGCATTTTCAGTCTCAGAGTTTTCATACCTCAATGTATGCATCATCATGGTTTCTGACTATCTTCCTTACAACTTTTCCACTACCAATTGCAACAAGGATATTTGATATCTTTATGTCTGAGGTAAGTTAGTGGGCAACTTACAGACTGAGCAAAGGAATCATTGGGTTAATGAGAGCTAGGCAATGAGGAGAACAATAAAGGAGACTCATGTGTTCCATGCTCAACTGCTTGCATGGATAATCTCATTTAATCCTATAACATCCATATGAGTACTATTCATCTCCTCATTTGATGGATGACAGGTGAAGAAGCTGATATTTAGAGAAAGATTAAGTAGCTTGTGTATGGACACATAACACATAAGTGGTATAGTAACCAAGATTCAAACACAGGCAGTCAAAATCAGGAACCCATACTCTTAATCAAACCTGAATCACCTCCTTTTTGATTTAGTGAGAATTAGTGAGGGTTAAAATTTCCTTTACAGTTAACACTGTTGCAATGCATCTGTTACCCAAAGAGGAAGAAGTAGCGAATATAATTTTCTTCTATCCCATGAACATTTTACAGGTAGTCCTTTTAATTATCACTGACATGTAGTGGTGATCCTTTGTCTTCTGTATTTTGACTGAGAAGGTAGGAAGGTAAGGATAGGTGATCAGTGATAGAGAGCACCTAAGAATATTATTAATTGTTATTAATTACATCTTGGGAAGATCAATTTATATAACATAGCTAAATTCGGTTAGTCTGGAGCCAGGAAACTGTGATTCGTGAACTGATCTGTCCTGGTTTGCCTGCCAGGTCTGTCCTTTCTGTAAATAAAGTTTCTTGGAACATAGCCATGACTGTTTGTTGATGTGATGTCTGTGTCTGCTCTTCAGCTGCAATTCCAGAGTTGATTATTTGTGACACTTATAGGTAGGGCTCCTAAAGCCTAAAACATTTGTTTTCCAACTCTTTACAGAAAATGTGTGCTCTCCTCTAGTTTAGGTACCTAAATGTTTACCTTAGTATTCTTTTGAGTGATTAGTTGTTGTGGAAGAGTAAGATAAATTTGACTTTATAATTTGATTCTTCAGGGTTTAGAAATAGTGTTTCGGATAGGATTAGCACTTCTTCAGATGAATCAGGCAGAACTGATGCAACTCGACATGGAAGGGATGTTACAGGTAAGCGAGGTCATGATTTCTTAAATGTCTTTAGATTTTACTATTTATTAATTAATAATAAATGGCACTAAGTAATTCTTATGTTTTTCTTCTGTTGTATCTTAGCACTTTCAGAAGGTCATTCCACATCAGTTTGATGGTGGTCCAGACAAATTAATCCAGGCAGCTTACCAAGTCAAGTATAACTCTAAAAAAATGAAAAAGTAAGTTAAGTATTCTGTATTTTGTTTTTTTAGTTATAGGGGTTTGTCAGTGCATTTTAGGAGATTAAATAGAAGCAGCAAAACATTCTAGTGGTGAGTGCAATTTTCCTCATCATTTTATAGAACTGTAAAGTTTTATTTGGGGGTATTAGTTTTAATAAGACGTAAATTTAATATTGGAATTTCATAGTGCTCTAATGGTGCATGGGACTATTGTGTATTACTGTCTTTTTCTTTTTGATTGCACTTTTAAAACTCCTTTCCCATTCCACAATGACTAGAAATAGGAACCTGGTAAGTGTATATATGTGAGTGTGTGCTATTGTTTTAGAAACCGCTTCTATGTTGTGGTCCCTAACATTCTTTTCCTCTCAGTTGATCCCAGTCTATCACTTAAGTTCAAGATTAGCATAATCAGCAAGATAGTCATGAGGTGTGCATTAAGTTAAAATTTTGTTTATTATGTATTACTTTCTAGTGAAACTTTCTTCTGTATATATTTCATTAAAGTTCAAGATAATCAGTCTTGTCTCATAAAGTTTGATTTCTGAAATATGATAAAAGTGTTAAGAACAATCTCTTATTCTTCTAGCTTTCAGCAGTTAAATAAATCTTAACCTGAGGTCATAATTAGCATTCCTGACACTTGTTAATGTACTACGAGATGCTTTAAAATGATAGAAGTAGTAGCCTCACAGTTCTTAATATCTTCGCTGCTGCACAATGAAATTACATTAACATGTACAATGTACTCCCATAGAGATTCCTACTCCAAAAATATATTAGAATATGAGTATTTTGTTATTAAAATTAGTTAACTAATTTGTGAAAAACAGATAATTTATCATGTTCAACTAGTATTGTTAATAAATTGCCTGTGAAATTACTAATAACCAATTACATCACAGCATCATTTGAGACATTTTAGACTGAAAAGCTGTTCAGTTCTATAATTGATAAAACCTTAGGAACCATCTCAGTTTCTGCCTCTTGACCTTAATTTAAAAGTACTTTATTGCTAAAAAATGCTAATCATTTGATCCTTTAGTAAGTTGTAATCTTTTACAGTAGTAACATCAAAGATCCCTGATCACAGGTCACCATAACAAATATGCTTCTTTTTTTTCCTTTTTTTTTCTTTTGTTGGTACTTGCCTTCCTTTTCCATTGCAATATCTACTTCTTACTGCTTAGTAGCTGTTTATGTATATTCTGGAGAGTAATGTTTTATCAGTATTAAAGGATGAGTTTCATCTGTTTCTAATAAGTACCACTCTCAGAATATAATGAACTTAGACTTGGACCTGGCTCTGAAAAAGGTTCAAACTTCCTGTATGTAGGATGATGGCAGAGCAGGGAAGTAAATAGCTATTACAATGACAGTCTCAGTTCAGTTCAGTCTCTCAGTCATGTCCGACTCTTTGCGATCCTATGGACTGCAGCATGCCAGGCTTCCCTGTCCATCACCAACTCCCAGAGCTTGCTCAAACTCATGTCCAATCTCATGACTCTCATCCTCTGTTGTCCCTGTCTCCTCCTGCCTTCAGTCTTTCCCAGCATCAGGACCTTTATCAATGTAACAGGTTATTAATTTGACATCTAAGAGATGCATAGCCTATGTGTCTTTTTTTTTTTTCATTTATTAGTTGGAGGCTAATTACTTCACAACATTGCAGTGGGTTTTGTCATACATTGACATCAATCAGCCATGGAATTACATGTATTTCCCATCCCGATCCCCCCTCCCACCTCCCTGTCCACCCGATTCCTCTGGGTCTTCCCAGTGCACCAAGCCCGAGCACTTGTCTCATGCATCCCACCTGGGCTGGAGATCTGTTTCACTATAGATAATATACATGCTGTTCTCTCGAAACATCCCACCCTAGCCTTCTCCCACAGAGTCCAAAAGTCTGCTCTGTACATCTGTGTCTCTTTTTCTGTTTTGCATATAGGGTTATCATTACCATCATTCTAAATTCCATATATATGTGTTAGTATGCTATAATGTTCTTTATCTTCCTGGCTTACTTCACTCTGTGTAATGGGCTCCAGTTTCATCCATCTCATTAGAATTGATTCAAATGAATTCTTTTTAATGGCCGAGTAATATTCCATGGTGTATATGTACCACAGCTTCCTTATCCATTTGTCTGCTGATGGGCATCTAGGTTGCTTCCATGTCCTGGCTATTATAAACAGTGCTGCGATGAACATTGGGGTGCACGTGTCTCTTTCAGATCTGGTTTCCTCGGTGTGTATGCCCAGAAGTGGGATTGCTGGGTCATATGGCACTTCTATTTCCAGTTTTTTAAGGAATCTCCACACTGTTCTCCATAGCGGCTGTACTAGTTTGCATTCCCACCAACAGTGTAAGAGGGTTCCCTTTTCTCCACACCCTCTCCAGCATTTATTGCTTGTAGACTTTTGGATAGCAGCCATCCTGACTGGTGTGTAATGGTACCTCATTGTGGTTTTGATTTGCATTTCTCTGATAATGAGTGATGTTGAACATCTTTTCATGTGTTTGTTAGCCATCTGTATGTCTTCTTTGGAGAAATGTCTGTTTAGTTCTTTGGCCCATTTTTTGACTGGGTCATTTATTTTTCTGGAATTGAGCTTCAGGAATTGCTTGTATATTTTTGAGATTAATCCTTTGTCTGTTGCTTCATTTGCTATTATTTTCTCCCATTCTGAAGGCTGTCTTTTCACCTTGCTTATAGTTTCCTTTGTTGTGCAAAAGCTTTTAAGTTTCATTAGGTCCCATTTGTTTATTTTTGCTTTTATTTCCAATATTCTGGGAGGTGGGTCATACAGGATCCTGCTGTGATTCATGTCAGAGAGTGTTTTGCCTATGTTCTCCTCTAGGAGTTTTATAGTTTCTGGTCTTACATTTAGATCTTTAATCCATTTTGAGTTTATTTTTGTGTATGGTGTTAGAAAGTGTTCTAGTTTCATTCTTTTACAAGTGGTTGACCAGTTTTCCCAGCACCACTTGTTAAAGAGGTTGTCTTTTCTCTATTGTATATTCTTGCCTCCTTTGTCAAAGATAAGGTGACCATAGGTTCGTGGATTTATCTTTGGGCTTTCTATTCTGTTCCATTGATCTATATTTCTGTCTTTGTGCCAGTACCATACTGTCTTAATGACTGTGGCTTTGTAGTAGAGCCTGAAGTCAGGCAGGTTGATTCCTCCAGTTCCATTCTTCTTTCTCAAGATTGCTTTGGCTATTTGAGGTTTTTTGTATTTCCATACAAATTGTGGAATTATTTGTTCTAGTTCTGTGAAAAATACCATTGGTAGCTTATAAGGATTGCATTGAATCTATAGATTGCTTTGGGTAGTATAGCCATTTTGGCAATATTGATTCTTCCAATCCATGAACACGGTATGTTTCTTCATCTGTTTGTGTCCTCTTTGATTTCTTTCATCAGTGTTTTATAGTTTTCTATGTATAGGTCTTTTGTTTCTTTAGGTAGATATACTCCTAAGTATTTTATTCTTTTTGTTGCAATGGTGAATGATATTGTTTCCTTAATTTCTCTTTCTGTTTTCTCATTGTTAGTGTATAGGAATGCAAGGGATTTCTGTGTGTTAATTTTATATCCTGCAACTTTACTATATTCGTTGATTAGCTCTAGTAATTTTCTGGTAGAGTCTTTAGGATTTTCTATGTAGAGGATCATGTCATCTGCAAACAGCGAGAGTTTCACTTCTTCTTTTCCTATTTGGATTTCTTTTAATTCTTTTTCTGCTCTGATTGCTGTGGCCGAAACTTCCAAAACTATGTTGAATAGTAGTGGTGAGAGTGGGCACCCTTGTCTTGTTCCTGATTTCAGGGGAAATGCTTTCAATTTTTCACCATTGAGGGTAATGCTTGCTGTGGGTTTGTCAGATATAGCTTTTATTATGTTGAGGTATGTTCCTTCTATTCCTGCTTTCTGGAGAGTTTTAATCATAAATGGGTGTTGAATTTTGTCAAAGGCTTTTTCTGCATCTATTGAGATAATCATACGGTTTTTATCTTTCAATTTGTTAATGTGGTGTATTACATTGATTGATTTGCGAATATTAAAGAATCCTTGCATTCCTGGGATAAAGCCCACTTGGTCATGGTGTATGATTTTTTTAATATGTTGTTGGATTCTGTTTGCTAGAATTTTGTTAAGGATTTTTGCATCTATGTTCATCAGTGATATTGGCCTGTAGTTTTCTTTTTTTGTGGCATCTTTGTCTGGTTTTGGAATTAGGGTGATGGTGGCCTCATAGAATGAGTTTGGAAGTTTACCTTCTGCACTTTTCTGGAAGAGTTTGAGTAAGATAGGTGTTAGCTCTTCTCTAAATTTTTGGTAGAATTCAGCTGTGAAGCCATCTGGTCCTGGGCTTTTGTTTGCTGGAAGATTTCTGATTACAGTTTCGATTTCCTTGCTTGTGATGGGTTTGTTAAGATCTTCTATTTCTTCCTGGTTCAGTTTTGGAAAGTTATACTTTTCTAAGAATTTGTCCATTTCTTCCAAGTTGTCCATTTTATTGGCATAGAGCTGCTGGTAGTAGTCTCTTATGATCCTTTGTTATTTCAGTGTTGTCTGTTGTGATCTCTCCATTTTCATTTCTAATTTTGTTAATTTGGTTCTTCTCCCTTTGTTTCTTAATGAGTTTTGCTAATGGTTTGTCAATTTTGTTTATTTTTTCAAAAAACCAGCTTTTAGCTTTGTTGATTTTTGCTATGGTCTCTTTAGTTTCTTTTGCATTTATTTCTGCCCTAATTTTTAAGATTTCTTTCCTTCTACTAACCCTGGGGTTCTTCATTTCTTCCTTCTCTAATTGCTTTAGGTGTAGAGTTAGGTTATTTATTTGACTTTTTTCTTGTTTCTTGAGGTAAGCCTGTAATGCTATGAACCTTCCCCTTAGCACTACTTTTATAGTGTCCCATAGGTTTTGGGTTGTTGTGTGTTCATTTTCATTCATTTCTATGCATATTTTGATTTCTTTTTTGAGTTCTTC